CCATTTTGTATCTGTGTATTCAAAGAGGTTGGGATAGATATATAGTTGCATTCTCTTAATGAATAGAATGATTTGTTCTAATGGTGTTTATAAATAGGATCACAAGTCTGCATCTTGTACAGCAAGTAACACTAAGAAGAATATATGCAGTGTATTATTTGTTGAAACTGTACTTCCAATTTGATTTGAAACTGTCTCATTGCTGTTTATCAATAAAACTTCGAAAAAAAATAAAATAAAAAATTCTTCAATGTTTCCTTCATTAAAAATATGTATTCCTGCTGGATACGGTGAAGCACACCTGTAATTGCAGCACTCTGGGTGGCTGAGGCAGGAAGATTACAATCTGTGGGCCCAGACTGAGTAACTTCACTTAGCATGACCCTGTGTCAAAAAAATAAAGGCTGCAGAATGGAACTCAGGGCAGTGGGCCCAGGTTCAACTCCAAAAAACAAAACCAAAAACATATATTATTTTAAAGTGGGGAGAAGTGACAAGACACATATCATGAATACTAACTGAAAGAAACTTTTGACAATGAAAAAAAAGTTGGAAGGGTATTGCTACCCAATTTTGAAAATCACTATTAAGCTAATTACTAAGATGATTACATGAATGGGGTAGAATACCAATCCAGAAATCACAAGTTCAAGCGTGGCCTGGGAAAATTAATGATTTAGTGAAAACCAATCTCAAAGTTAAAAAATAATAAAAGGTCTGGAGCTGAAAGCTCAGTAAAAGTCCCTAGGTTCAATCTTGAGTATCACCAGAAAAAAAAAATTAAGTTAGATCATGCACCTAAACATAAAACCCAAACTATTACACTTCTGGAAGAAAATACAAGGCTTTATGACTTTGAGCTAGTAAAGCTGTCTTAGAAATGACACCAAAAGAACCCATGAAATTAAAACAATGATAAATTGGCTGTCATCAAAATTTAAAACTTTTACTCTCTGGAAAACACACTATTAAAACAAAAGACAAGGCAGACTTGGAGAAAATATTTGTAAGTCATAAATCTCATAGAAGACTCACACCTAGAATTTAAAAAGGATTCAACGTTTAATAATAGGATGTGGGTTTATTGGGGAATGGAGTGGGAAGGGATGGAAAGAAGCCCAAGGCACAAGAAAACTTTTGAGAGTGACATGAATGTTCATCACCTTGACTGGCATGAAGATTTTGCAAGCTTATGTTTGCATCAAACTTACCAAATTTTTCACTTTTGTATGCCAGGTACACCTCAATAAAGCTGTTAAAAAATAAGACAGCTGCTTGCCTGAGATATAGAAAAGCCACGGGAATGTCCTTTCTTTCAACCAGGAAAAGATAAAATTAAGCTCAAGGGCAGCATCTGCAAAAAAGTCTTTTTTAAAAAACATATATGGTGTTGATGTAAAAATACAAAAACAACAACAAGAAGATCCAAAAATTTTCCTTTTCACAAAAGGTAAGTCCATGTACATTGTTTAAGCTGAGCTGTGATGTAACTGTGTCTTAAAGATTTTCGTCATCACTTTAGTGGAAAGTAATCGCTCCCTCTTGTGAAGAGCCCTGCTACTTATGTTAATTTGCAGATATTAATTCAAGGCATTTATCCATTCACCTACTTCACATTGAGTGTCTCATACAGGTAGGGACTAGGCTTGGCACTAGGTACACAAAAATAGGTGGGACACACTCGTTGCCCTCAGGATCCTCACAGTCTTGCAGAAAGAGTGACCTATTTGATAAACCTATAAATAGGAAGTAACAAAAACATACCAAAACAACTCTCTCAATAAATACTAAAATGTGTAACAGGAACATAGAAGAAATTCAGTTTTTCAGCCACACTACCATAATAATTTGTCCAACGTCTATTTTCATACATGCCTAAAACTCTCTGAGGATAAGAGTCCACTCACTTTAGAAATCTACTAGATTACCTAGCACAGTACCTCACGTGGGTGTTCTATGCTTGCATATTGGAATGGATATTCTATTCCATAAGCTCTCTTTCACCAGAAGGGTGAAAGTTGATAGCTGGCCACTATGTTGCCAATTTCATAATTGAATTCTAACCCTTACCCCCTTTGTCAAAGGTATGGCAATAATGAATTTAGGAGACAGAAGCAACATTTAAAGCCTGAGTCTCTAAATTCCCAAAAGAATGGTCATTCTCCCAATGAAGAAAACAGGAAAGTAGTAGGGGTGAGATGGATCTTGGCTTGCAGAGATCTAGTTCAGAAGAATGATAGTCGTGACTCAAGAAACTGCCATGCTGCCCAGGAGAGCCCTCACCTTCTTTATGCAGCTGCTATACCCAGAGGCATACACATGGATGGAAGCCTCCCAATCTCCACAGCCACGGTGGGGAGCCAATGGCATGCATGCCACAGTGCGTTGTTTATTATCATTAAAGCTCTAAAAAGTTCACCATCGCTACTCTATAGGGATTACACCAGTTTTACTATGAAAGCAATTTCTAGGTATGGGTAGGTTCAATCTGCTACGATGAAATACCATAAACTTGGTGAGTCAGAAACATAGAAATTTATTTCTCACAGTTCTGAAAGTGAGGAAGTCTCAGAGCCAGGTGCTAGCATATTCCATATCTAATGAAGGCCTACTTTCTGGTTCATAGACGGTGAGTGTGTTCCAGATGGTTCTCACATGGTGGGAAGGGAAAGCTAGCCTCCTGGGGCTTCTCTTATAACGGCACCAACGCTAAGCATAAGGGTGCTGCTCTCACTCCCTAATCAGCCCCCAAAGGGTTCGCCTCTTAATACCATCACACTGAGAAGTAAGGTTTAAAAATATGGATTTTGGAGGAACATAAACATTCAGACCACAGTCCAGAGTTCATTTGTGACTTTCTATTTTCTCAAGTGTTCATAAACCTTCTCTCCCTGCTCAGTTTCTGAAAGGACAGAAAGGCGGCAGCGGAGACAACCACTGCGGGAAATCAAGCATAAGGAGAGGGGGCAACCCCAGTTATCTCATTTTCTCATGGCCAACATCTACATACTTTTGCAATTTCAGTTAGGACAGAGCTCACACCAATGAAAAAAGTCTCTAATTACAACCAAGAGAGTTGGGTTAAACACCAAGAAGCAGTCCAATTCACCATCACCAGAAGAAAAGTTCCTCTCCATCTTAACATAAGGCAGACTGTACAGAAATCACAGGTCTTGGAAGGGAAAAGTAGAGATTTAAGTCCGCCTGGACCCACCAACCAGAGGATGGCTGCCGGAGACAGCAGGCCACCTCTGGGGCCAGGACTATGCACCAGGCTTACCTGTAGATGGGGTCCTGCATCACCAGCATCTTGCTCTCATCCCACGTCCACTCCTTTTTCTGCAATAAAAGAAGCTATAAATGAATAAGTTAGGCTTGTCCTCAGCTACAGAACCAGGGCACACGGTGAGCTGCTAATGCTTATGCAAACACATGCATTTTGCTCCTGGTCTGATTTTTTTTTTTCCCCAAGAGGCCTAGAGTTGATTGCTCTAAAAGGACAAGTGGAAAATGTCCTGTGTCTGTTCTGATCTGTTTCCTTCAAGCACTTTTAAGAGGATCTCTCCAGGGCACAGACAGCAAGCAGGAGCCAAGGAGGGATCCAGGGACCCTAAGCAGATGCTAAAGTAACATCTTAGAGCAACCACAAGAGAGAAGAGACCATGCATCACTGCAGAGCAGTGGGAGGAGATAAACGAAGGAAAGAAGGGAGCCAGAGTGCTCCTGATATGTGCGGGGTGCTAATCATGCAAATAGAACGCAATCCCATCTTCTGTCCTTTCAAGGGACACAAGGGCTCTGCACAGCTGAGTGCAAGAGGTGAGTCAAAGCTAATGGTGAATGCTTAAATTAAGAAAACTTACAGTAAAGTCACTTTGTGCCAATAATGACAGGATAAATGGGTTCACATTGAGGGGGCTGGGGGCCTGCCCCTTAGCTCAGTTCTTTAAGTGGCTGCTTCAACAAAACAGTCAGGCTCAGGTTGCTGTGGTTCGATCTCCACATTGAGGGGGTATATTCTGAGCATTCTGGGGGATTAATGGCAATATGTGTTTTGCTGTAATACATTTCAACATTCACCATATTTTATTATTATTCTATTGATCAAATTTTTACAGCAATTTCTGTCAAAAACATTACAGTGTGTCCTCATGCACCTTATTCAGCAGATCTGGCACTGTGCAGCTGCTGGCCTTTCTCTGAAGTCAAAATGACCATAAAATGTGAATGTTTTAAATCAATTCAGGACCCTAGGGCAGCCACAACAACCCAGCTAAAAACACCATAAAAGGGGACTTTCAGAACTGCTTCAGAAAATGGCAACAACAATGGGATAAGTGTGTTCATAGCAAGCGTGTTCACTTTGAGGTGGGTTCATGCAGCATTTTTTTTACTGTAATATATATTTTTTAATTTAGATATTCACCTTGTTTGTTGTACTGTGAAAATTAAGTAGTGCATTTGGAAAGTTACTTGGGAGAAGACCTTCATCCGGCTGCGATCCCATCTAATTGTGAACACAGAGAGACTCATCAACACCCGTGCCCAAGCCCCTATGGAATGGGAGAAAGTTCAGAGTGTAGCACATGATGAGGTGAGCAGCCCCCAAGGCTGGGGTAAGCATGTGAGGGTCAGGGGAAGCACCTGAGGTTAAGCTAGCAACCAATCACAGCCCCTTAGGTCTGGCCCTCAGGTATTAGGCTTTCACTGGCTTTTGTCACACAGACAGTGCTGTCTAGGGAGATCGGGGAGAATGCACTCATCTACGAAAGAATGAGAACAGGAGAAGAGCAAGAATACAGTGGCACCTCATGTCTGTTTGTGTGGGCATGAAAGGTGGCTATGGTCATGATAGTCACCTGATGCAGAGTTTATCAATGAAAGCAAAATTTTTCTGAATGCTTTTATTTGTGAGCTCAATTGCTTGCAAATAGAAGTGTCTGTGAACCAAGGTATTACTATATATTGGATTAATGGGTCATCTTAGCAGGTGGATTTCTCAGCTAGGAATGTATGGTCTGGCTACTTTCAAAACATAAGCATTTGTGTAGTGTCCAAGAAATTAGAGAGGACTATGTCAGGCCCTTAGGGTAATATCAGGAAGCATTTCACTAACAGCTTTACCAAATCATGACACTGCATACACACAAGTGCATGTGCACACACACACAGCATCTAGTACCTGAGGTTTGATTCAATGCCCATCCAAAACAGGAGGGGAGTTTAGACTACTTTACAGGGGTCCAACATCAACCAAGTCAATCACTGTTTTACAGACAACAAACTTCTTTGACTTCCCACTTGACCTCTCTTGACATCCAAGAGGCAAGAGGCCCCTCATGGCTGCTTCTTCTGACTTCCAGTGGCCCAGGGAGACAGGGACATCTTGTCCTGCTCTCCATGAGTCTCTCTCTGGCAGTACTGCATTACTACAGTATCACCTGATACTGTTACTACTGGAACAGAGGAGAGGCAGGGAGGGAGACACTTGAGACTGACTGGCAGGAATGGAACCCTGGGGCTCTTCTCAGCCCCCTCTGAACAACCCCATGGGGAGGGGACCCTTCCTGACACCCACAGTGGCAGGAGTCTGGCTTCCCACTCAGCCACATGGCCTGCATGGTAGAAGGCAGTGCTTTCTGTGTTGATTGGCTGGAAGAGTGGCGATTGTCTAAAATTTTTTGGCCTTTTAATTTCACCCTTTCCCTCCTTGTCTGGCCACAAAGAGGGAGGACTTTGTGTCTCTTCCTGTTGGCAAACAATTCTCTAGCTCTAAGTCTAGGGTATGTGAGGTGACAAGAAAACTCACGGAATTCAGAACTACGCACTTCCTGGGATCTCAATGTTCCTAGACAGGCTCTGTTCTCTCCACCTTCCAGAATCTTTTGGTGTTTGTTTTATTATACACTGTCCAGGGTTTCAGTTGTATTAGCAAGAGGAACAGGGAACAGTACAGTCACTCTGTCTTCTCAGGAGCAAAAGCCTGTGTGTGTGTGTGTGTGTGAAGATACATAGAAATAATTGTTTTACACTACAGGTGCCCCTACCTCTTAAGATAGGAACACAGTAAGTCCTGATGAGGCCACATAATCTGCCTGAACTCTGACAGTTGTCCCTGCTGTTCCCAACCACCCCGTTGTCTCCCCCAGCCCTTTAACACTGCCTGGGAATCTGTGTCTTGGGCTACTGTGGGAAGTGAAAAAGGAAAGTCATCTTTACCTGTTTCAATTTAGTTGATATGGGGAAAGAGTCCACTGCTCTCTCCAAGGAAGAGGTCTTTATCTAACCTCTTCTTACATTATCAAAATTGACCTCCACTGTAAAGGTTAACACTGAGACTCAAAGGTTGCTTATTTCCCTCCAAGAACCCCTACTCCAAAGGGGGGGGGCATATCCTTCTACTGCTGTCTATAAATAAATTATAGGCATTATCAATACATTACTGGCATTTCAGCATAAGATTGCGAACTACATCTCTTTGTCTCAGTAGATCAAGTGGCTCCCCAGTCTGTAGGATGGGAACTTGAAACCTATGAAGAGACAGAGGAAGCCAGGTGGCTGCTTGAAAAGTGTGACCTGAAATGTGTCACTGGCCTTATTAATACATCATTGGCATTATTGTGTAACATTGTGAACTACATCTCTTTGTCACAGTAGATCATGTGGTTCCCCAATCTGCAGGGTGGAAACTTGAAACCAGTGAAGAGACAGAGGAAGTCAGGCGGCTGCTAGGGGAAGTAGGGACTCTCAGAGGATCCCCTCCTGGCCTAGAAGATTGGAAGTAACCAAAACAGCCACCAGCTCAGCCTCTGGAGTCCCTTTCTGTGCAGCCCTGTAGGTTCCTAAAGACCTGACTATAGTTACACATGCATTAAAAAGCACAGTTCTAGAGCTGGTTTAAAGTAACCCGAGCTGGAATCTAAAGCAATCTCCTAGTCCAAGCCTTCATTTATAGGTGAGGCTGAGGGAGGAAAAATAACCTTCTCAGAACACAAAGCCTGGAGGATGTCTTTTCATCTCAACCAAGGGGCCCTTCCAGCACGTCACAGTGGCCCCGTGAAAACCAGTGCACTATCTGAAGACTAGTCCATACCTCACCCATCAGTCCTGCCAGGCACTGACTCATCTGTACAGAATGTCAGGCTGCACGTGGTACCACAGACTTGAGGCTGACTATAAGCCACGGCTGTTGCTACAAGCTGGCAAGCTGGAAAGTGTCAGCACTTAACCTAATCATGACCCTCATCGGTGACATGTGCTGACTGTACAAATACCTTGGGGAAATGGTGCAGTCCTGTGGCCTGCCTCCTCTCACCCCCTGCTCTGTAAACAGGGCAGGAGAGAAAGTGTGTGTGAGTGTGGTGGGAGCACACTCAGCTACCAGAGGACTGTCACATGGGAACATGATGACAAGGAGGCTGATTGCTGCTAATGTGCATTCATCCAGCAGAGGCGAGAGGAAATGTGCACTGTGATTAAAGGCATTATCCAAATCACAGCCACAGCCCTGAAACGGACACCAAATGTGGGTGGAGGAAGCAAGACACGAGGCTCCTCTTTCCCAACCTGGCCCAGAAAGACCTGCTGGCTCACCTCTAGCCTGGTCCAGTAGTAGGGGGACACTGGAGGCGCCCCTGCAGAGAATTTCAAAGTGAGTCACAAAGTGCCAACCATCTTGGGGGAGATGCCACTCCACCTTAGCTTTCACGCACTTGGTTGGGGGTGGCTTGGGGTAGCAACAGATTCTCCTCTAGGTGTCACTGCTGCCTGAGCCATCTGAACTGTTTCTCACACAGAGAATAGGGACACCACCATGTATGGTATGCATGGGGGAGACAATGCCCCCTAGGGAAAATCCACAGAGTCACACTGTAGTGGATGATGTCAAAGGAACACTAGCTTACCCTGAAGGGAGGAATAGCTCCCGGGTCAACAGACAATGGAATGTTACTTAACTGGATGTAAACAGAGATCGCATCAGTAAGCATTGTATATGCTCTGAGGTAAGTGGGTAGTCTGGGAGTGTCACCCATGGAAATAGGGAACTGAGAGAGTACAGGGGGAAATCCAGGTCGGCTGTGCCAGTCAGACCAGGACCAGCATCTGCCCAACAAGGCCACTGTAAAACCCCAGTGGAGCTGTGTTGTCAGGGAGCTGGAGGTCAGGGAACACCGTTGTCATACAGCCAGCCAACTTTCCCCATTTCCCATCCAGAACCCTATAATTATTCGTCTCTAACTAAAAGGAAATGTGCTTATCGGGATAAGGTGAGTATCTAGCCTACAGGATTGTTCTATGACTCAGAGCAAATTAGGAAACTGCAGCCCTGGTTTTTGCATCAGCCTCTTTTGAGCTCTATCAAGTGAGTCTGCATGCTAAGGTTCAAAATTTCAAAGGGGTGAGTCTGAGTTCCATGGCTGGAAGGGCTGACAGCTGGTAAGGAGGAGAGCAGATCAGGAAAGAAATCATTGGCCAAGAAAAACGTCCACAAAGACCTATGGGAGGATGTAGGTCAATGGGTGTGAAAGAATTGTGTCACCTGGAAAGTGCCCACACATGACAATTATGTTATCAGTTGGTCCCTGAGGCTGCTGAGTCCCTTGGTCCCCTCACATTCTGAAGGGTGGAGTAAAGGAGTCTGACACAAGGGACAAAAGCCAGTCTCCCTGCATCATAAGCTTGGGTTGCTTCTGCCCTTTTCTTCTCTGAGGATATCTCCTATTCAGGTTACCACTGTTGTCACCCATAATTTCAAGTCAGCTAGCCTCATTGACTCCGGCTCATGGCAATAGGCTCAGGATTGTCCCATGGCTGCCCACTGTGTCTACACATGGGAGGGGAGAGGAGGAGGCAGGAAAGAGATCCTGGGAGGGGGCACAGCTATAACAGAAGGTCACAAGGGGGCACGAGGGTAGAGGGTGACTCAAGTGAGGCTGAAGGTTGCTCTAGTGACTCTAGGAAGGGGCAGTTTTTAGAAGTCTCCTCTATCTGTTCCCCCACTGAAACTCCTTACTAATTACACAATGTTTGAGAACAGACCATTTCAAATTTTAAGAGTTTTTCTGGATTTTGGAATATTTGTATAGATCACTGTAAGGATCACTACATCTAAAGCTCCCACATATGAGATTCTCAAACTGTGAAATATTTTGAGAGCCAACATGATACCCCAAATGTACAGGCTTTGGAACACTCTGGATTTCAGAATTAGGTCAACATATATCACTTACACTGGAAGTACTTCCCATGGTGAAGGCTCAAAGGTAAAGATGTAAAAATGAACAAGGGACTCTGAGCTCGGGGATGATGAGAGATGACCCAACACGAGGATTAAGCAATTATCTAACCAGGTCACATGCCCCTGCCGCACTCTCTGCTCCAGCTGCACCTGTCAATACTACTGTTGGTGAAAATGGAAGACCTCATCAGGTAAGTGAGCATTCTGTCCAGAGAATGTTCCAGAAGGAAAAGGCACCCTAAACCTACCTTCATTGCTTCCCTCTTCACACAATTTCCAATTCAGAGCACTTACCTTTTTCTTCTTCTTCAGAATCACTTTCACTCCATCCACTGAAACCATAATGCTCACTTTCTTCTTCTTGATGTTCTTGGCTTTAAACTCATACTGCAGAGAAGAGAACAAACAAGGAGAATTGGATTAGGTCAGCATCTCTGCAGAGCCCCAGCTAGCCCACAACCTGGCAATGACAGGCCTAGGGAGCTGGTGCAGTTCTTGGCCATGGGGAGCCCCTCAGGAGATGTGAAAAGTGGGCTCTGCATCAGCAACTTGGGCAATCTCTGGGTGACAACATGGACCCCAGTTGACCATCCAATATACTACCCAACCATTAACTAGGACCAGAGAAATACACCTCAAGCATTCTAATGACATGAACCTAATCTGTCCATCCTAATGCAATTAAAACATTTCCTACTTTGGAACTCTCATCAACCTATATCAGAACTTTTCCCCAGTAGCTCATTCTACCATCTAATGATTCTCATTGTCTCCTTGTGTCTAAACAAACTCAGCTGGAATTCCATTCATCCTCAGTGAAGACATGAAAAAGTAATTCTGAATTCGAAGTTATTCTCTATAAATTTAGTTCCCGGTTCCTTTGTCTATGGGTCAATCTCCAAGTCTATCCATAGTTCTGTCAGCCTGAATACTTGGAGGCTGGAGAGTAAGCTAGAAGAGATCTGACCAATGAGCATCAGGAAGGAGGCACTGTCTCACAGCCCCCCTGTCATGAACTCACATTTGTCATCCTGGGTAGGGGGGCTCTAGCCACAGTTCTGCACTGCTGAAGAGCATCTGCCTCATCCCCAACCCCAAATCTTTAGGCTACATTAGCATATTTGTAGCCTCTCTTATGTTCATACAGCTAATCCATAGCTGGTGATCTAATTCTGCATTTTCCCCAGTGATCTTCATTCTAAGCACTTCAGTTTATTACAATGGTCTCCACCCAGTCCTCATTTTAGTATTGCCACCTAGAAAATTTACCAGGAACACTCTCTCATCAGACAGCTGAGTTGCAGACTGAAAAATAAGTAACCTGGGACCCACAGCCAACTCACAGCCCCTCTATTCTGGGACCTTTCATACTCAAGGCCTTGTTGGATTATGCCACTATCTGAGCTTAGTTAGAACCACCAAGCTCCTTTCTTTTGCTTCTTCTAAAGCCTAATTATTTCTAGTTGTGTATGGATGGGAATAAATGCAGTCCGTCCTAACAAGATGAAAACATAGGTTACTTTGTAATTATCATCAGAAATCCAGATCCTTATTCCTTTGGGCAGGCCTTTGACCACTCTGACCTGAAGTTTTCTACTGTTGGCAATCTAGCCCTCTAGTGAAATCTCAGTGCTACTCTTCTTTTGCTGTACATAGTGGGTGTTGATGCCTGCTGGTGGGCTGCTATGCATGGACAAACACAAGACCTGCTAATGGGGGTAAAATATCTTTATATTGTCGGGGAAGGCTCTGGATTGGAGTTCCACGTACTCACAACCAAATCACTCCCAGTCCGGTGCCACTTTTCCACCTTACCACTCTATCCTGTCCACAGTTCTCTCTTTCACCAAAGAGGTCTGGAGGAAGGGCAAAGTGGAGGAGCAAACAGAAACAGAGAGCAAAGAAAAAGTCAGCCTTAGCCCAGCGCCCAAAGTCAGCAAAGACCTCAGAGGAAGGCAGAGAAGGCGCTGTAGGCAGGATGCAGAGGACAGATCTCTGCGCTGGAGTTGGCTTCAGACAGGGTCTTGGCTACTTCACACACTTCACTCTAGGTCAGTGGCTGTAAGCCCTAAAGGCTAGAGTTGGGTCAGATGAGCAGGCACTTGGGGGCTGCCGAGCCGTGTGTTGCCCTGACGGCAGCCTTCTGCTGAGCTGCATGTGGGGTAAACTGAAGTGACTTCTGGGTGGGAGAACTGGCACGGCATGCTGCAGGTTGGGGATGTTGGGCTTGTGCCTACTGGGAGAGCTGACCAGCCACCTTTCTGGCCATACCCAGTCGAGCTTTTATGCACACTCCCTTCTACGCAAGTTGCACAATCAGAATGCTCCGAAGAATGGGGCATTCTGATGAAGTCTCGGAGAATTTAAGAGCATTAGGATCTGGAAACACCCAGAGGAAGACAAAGCCTCCTCAGACAGGTCAGTCCCCAGCAGGCTGTCACCTTTGGTCCCAGTACAACAGCCTCACATGCTCCATACACTTTCTTCTTCCCCTTTTAGCAACAAAATCAAAGCAAAAATAGCAAGGCAAGGCACTAGATCATCTTTCCAGACCTGACTTTAGAGAATAAATTGCCCGATAGACCAGACCCTCAAATGCCTTGTGTTTCTAGAAGAGTCTGCAGTTGGCTTTGGCCCACTCCTACCAGGAGCATGGGACCTTCTTGTACTCAAGAGCCCTCACCCAGACCTGGCAAGAAGTGCCCAGCCAACTCCTTGCTTATATAGCCGGAACCTTAGCTGTTTCTACAGTTAGTGTTTTGACAGACTTGGTTCTATCTCCAAGAGCCTTAGAAACTCAAAATGCAACTATGCATTCTCTTTGAAACTGGAAAATGCCTCTTACTTGATCACCACGCACACACTACCAGATGGCTCCTATAGGGTCAATGGACAACGCTGACTACACAAAATGTGTGACCCAATTTTCTCCCAGAATCTCAATGACAGCAACAACACAGGTGTTCCCCTCAACAGCTGGTGGTATGCTGAACAACTGGTAGGATATTCTGGAGTCTTTCAAAATGAGGAGGAGCGAGAGAGGCAAGGAACAGGCTGCTGCATCCTATCACAGCTGCCAGGACTACCTGAGTGCTGCTGACAAGGGCTCTTAGGTTAGCCACGCTCTGCATCTACACCACCTGCCTGGATGCCCAAATCCCTTCCAATGCACCATCAGAGTTTAATTGCACTTCTACTGCAAACTCTGGACATGAAAGAAAATCAAGTGTCTAAAACTGCTTACATATTTATCATTAAGCTGCTGGTTTACATGGCAATTACACTTCACTTAGGCAACCATGCTATCATGCTCACTAGAGGGAGAAGAAATGAATTTGAAGAAGGGGATTGGTAATGGAGTAACTAGGAGAACAGAAGAGAAAAGGATTCCCAGGGTGTGCTGCTCCAAGGCACAGTGCAAACAGGCTCAGGAGGAAGCAGCCGTGTTCCTAGGGACAGGAATCCAGTCTGCTCAGGCCTTGCCAGGGGCTAAAGAACAAATAGTACTGCTGGTGCCACTGTCTGTAATTCATGCCAGGCCTAGAGTATGTGCCAAGAGGCCTGGCCCTCCACCCGACATGGCCAGACTGTTCTGGTCCATTTGCTTTGTTTCCCAGAGCTCCACCAGCAAAGACAGATTAAGCCCTACAGGACCCGACCCTTGAGAAAACAAAATAGTACAACTCCTGGAATAGCAAGCACAGATGGGAAAGACTAAGAGTGTTTGGGGTTCATAAACAGAGCCTTGAGTCCTGTATTGAAAGAGGGGCCCTGGAACTTCCAGTGTTGCGCCAATCAATGAGGCCCAATGGAGAAGGCTGGGGAGAGGGAAAAACAGCAGCCAGGACTAAAGACTCAATGAGTGACAAGAGCAAGACATTGCTTAGAAGCTGGAGAGCTGCTTTCATACCAGCACCCTGGATCTTGAGCATCTTCTCATTCCCAGAACCACCTGGCCACCCTACAGCTCAGCCCCAGTGCCTGGCTACCCAAGAAAAGGAAGCAGGGGCCTGCAATAGGCTCTGAGTGAAACAACAGAGAAGAGAAGCTCAAGAAGAAGCCAGCCCAGCCCTGGGCTTGAGAACTCACTGCAGAAGCAGAAGTAACAGAAGTGTTTAATTAGAGCCTGAAAAAAAGGTATCAGATGCTACACACACACACTCTTAACAGTGTATTTTCATGATGTATAGCTTCTTGAAGAATCCATGAATGTTTAACTACAGCTGAGTTTAACCAAAATACATTTCACAGGAACCTTGATACCTCAGTCACCTTGGCTACAAATAACTTGGAGAGTGGCATCCTCTCCTGCCTGCCTCAGGTCCTCTCGTTCTTAACTATAACTGCTCCTTCTCATTTTCCTCATGGGGCTCACAGATGGGAGCCACAACTTCTCTAAGAGCCAGCTTCTCAATAGTGACTTACTTAAGAGGAGAGGAGTGTATCTATAAAGGCAAATGGTGATGCCATTGCTTGGAAAGTCTTAGGCTTATATCCAGCTGTGTTCCTATAGACAATGACCCAGGCATCTTAATCATACTCTGCCTGTAGCCTTGGTTTTACGAATGTGAACCAAACTATGAGCACCCAACCAGAGGAACAGTCTCAGAAAGGTTTGCAAGAAGTCCTATGCTTGCTGAAAGTTTAATAAACTATATAAAAAGATAAAGTCTAAGTACAGCCATGTGCATAACAGCATTATTCAAAATAGCCAAAATGCGGATACAACTCAAATGTCACTCAATGAATGGATACACAAATATATTTCTATACATACAATAAGAATATCATTCAGCCTTAAAAAAGAAATTCAGGAGCTGGGGAGATACCTTGGTGGTCTAAGCCCCTGCCTGGCAAGTGCAAGGACCCAAGTTTGATCCCCTGTGCTGCATGCTGTGCCAGCCCCAGAACCCTGGAAGCACTGTGCCACTCTCAAAACAGGGTGTGGTAGTGTACACCTCTAATTACAGCACTGAGGGAGGCTGAGACAGGAGAATCACTATGAGTCTGAACTACACAGTGAGACCCTGTATCAAATAAATAAATTTAAAGAAAAGAAACTCTGATACATGCTACAACATAAAGCCTAAAGATATTATGCCAAATGAAATAAGCCAGTCAAAAAAGAAAATATTTTATGTTTCCACTTTCATGAGATACCTATATAAAAATAGAGACAGCAGCATGGTGACTTTCAGGGGCAAAGGGGTACAGAGTTCAGTGGTGACAGAGTTTCAGTTTTTAAAAAATTCTGGAGAGGACAGGGATATAGCTCAGTGGTATAATATCCGCCTGGCAAGTGCAAGGTTTTGAGTTTGATTCCCAGTACCAAACTAAATAAATGAATGAATAAATAAATAAATAAATAAATGGTTTAGGAGATAGAT